ATAGGTTGACACAAGAGCTAGTAAAAATGTGGACTAGAAATGTTGCAAGACCATCTGGCATAGAAGTTCCAGCAGACAAATGTTATCCACCTTTCACAGCACTCTGATCATTTGATACCTCTCCTAAACATTTTTGTATACTCTCAGATCCAATGAAAAACTCCTTATGCTTGCCTCAAAGTCTATGCGCTCCCCCACTTCTATAGTGATGCCTTCGATCCTCCACTTCTATCACTTCCAGGTACCCCAAGATGTCTTGCTTCCTCAAACAGCTCTACAGTTCTTTATGCCTGGAACTGCTTTCCAGAACACCTGCATGGTGGCACCTCTCTCCTGCTTCAAATTCAACCTCAAATTGCACCTTTTCTGTGAAGCTTTGGCACAACACACAATCCCCATGACTTAATGTAACTAAACATAACTTTCTCCCTGGGTTGGTTCAGACCGGGAAGGGGATGGGGAGTGCAGCTGCTGGCTACACGTGCTTTACTCCCTTGTGCAAAATTCTCATTTGTGGGGAGGCTTCAAAAATTATTCAGTTTACTGCTAGGACTGAGAGGAGTTGTGGTTCAGTAACATCTGGAGGACCAAAGGCTTCCCCCATCAGGTTTAATTCAATACCAAATATCTTAACCAGAATCCTAGTATTGTATCTTTCTTTCCCTGTGCAAACAACTTTTAGGAGAGCATTGTATCAGAGTGAAAAAAACATACATAGATGAGATCCCCAGGGAAGTAAATGGGGGCTGGACTAAATTTTGCTGGAGGACATATCAGGGGTGACGGTGAAGGAAGAGGGCAGTTGCCCAGGGCCCCACACTTTGAGGGGTGGGGGAATCTTGTACAAAATCCTGCCTGCATCTTTATAGTCAGTCATTCTCAGTCTACCTTGTATTTATCTTAGGGCTATTGCAAGCAAGTCCCTCCCTACAGAAACACTTGCAGAAGACGGGCCCATCTCCAGGCCCATCTTCACCAGTAGTACACTAGTAGTTCATTCGCCAAGATCCGCCGTCATGCTTTTTTTCTGCACGTGCCCAGTTCACTCAGGGCAGCAGCAGGAGGCAGCTGTCAATTTGTTTTAGTAGGAGTGGAAAGGAGAAGAGATCCACCTAGGAAGACAACCTAGATCTTCTGAAATTTCAGAATAGGATAGAGTCTGGTCAGACAGATCTCACAAAACAAGCTCAACAAGAATAAAAGAAAACTCATTAAAACTTTTTACAGGTGGTATCTCTACTAGCTGGAATAATAAAACCAGGTGAAACGAAATGTTAGAGAGGATGTAATGTGATTGGAACATATTACCACATGTGGTGGTCATGTGATAATGTGTATTCATTCTGGAAAAAAATATCTTCAAACAATCTCAATAATAATTAAATTTGAACTGCCACTGTGTCCTAAACTTGCTCTTCTTTTGATTTTTGATACAAATCTTCCTATTAAGGTTTCCAGAGAACTCATTATTCATCTTTTTTCTGTCACCAGATTAGTGATCTCAGAACATATAGACATAGCCAACAGTTGCAGGGAGAAGGTCAGGTGGGTTAAAGCTCAGAATGAGCTCAGAGTTGCAAGGAAAGCTACAAAAAAAGGGGGAGGGGTTCTTCGGTGATGTGTTCAAAACAAGAAGAAGAACAAGCAAGTAGTAGGTCCTCTGAGTGCAAAAGACAGAAATGCTATTGGTTGACAAAGAGGAACTGGAACTGCTCAACACCTACTTTGCCTCTGTCTTCACCCAAAAGGAAAGCAGTGCCCAACTTGGTGATAACAGACTAAATGATGCAAGGAAGGAACTGCAGCTCAAGAAAGGAAAAGAGATAAGGGAACACCTAGCTACTTCAAACAAATTAAATCTTCAGGGCCCGATGAGCTGCTCCCAAGGGTACTAAAGGAGCTTGCGGATGTAATCTTAGAGCCTCTGTCTATAATCTCTGAGAATTCTTGGAGGACAGGTGAGGTCCCTGCAGACTGGAGGTGACCAAATGTTGTCCCCATCTTCAAGAAGGGGAAAGAAGACGACACACGTAACTACTGACCTGTCAGCTTGATGTTGATACTGTAGATGCAGCGTATCTCGATTTCCGTAAGGCTTTTGATAGAGTCCACCATGATATTTTTGCAGAGAAGCTGGTAAAATGTGAACTGCACAAGAATGCTGTGAGGTGGATTTGTAGCTGGTTGACTGACCAAACCCAATAAATGGTTCCTCGTCATCCCGGAAAAAAGTGACAAGTGAGGTACCACAGGGTTCTGTTATTGTTCAACATCTTTATAAACAACAATAAAGGATCTAGGGGTCTTAGTAGGCCACAAGCTGAAGATGAGTCAACAGTGTGATGCAGCAGTAAAAAAAAAAAAAGTAATGCTATTCTAGGTTGCATCAAGTATGGTTTCCAGATCAAGGGAAGTAATAGTCACACACTATTCTGCCTTGGTCAGACCCCACCTGGAGTCCTGTGTCCAGTTCTGGGTGCCACAATTTAAGAAAGAGATTGGCAGGCTGGAGGAGGGTGACCAAGATGAAGAAGAGTCTTAGGAGGAACAGTTAAGGCAGTTGGGCATGTTTAGCCTGGGGAAGAGAAGACTAAAAGGAGATATAACCATCTTCAGATATCTAAGGGGCTGTGACATGGAAGAGGGAGCAAGCTTGTTTTCTCCTGCTCTTGAGGGTAGGACTCGAAACAATGGATTCAAGTTACAAGAAAGGAGATTCCAGCTAAACATCAGGAAGAACTTTCTGACATTAAGAGCAGTTCGGCAGTGCAACAGACTCCCTTGGGAGGTGGTGGACTCTCCTTCAAGGTTTTTAAGCTGAGGTTGGATGGCTTGGATAGCTGTCTGTCAAGAATGCTTTAGTTGAGATTCCTCCATTGCAGGGCGTTGGACTAGATAACCCTTGAGGTCCCTTTGAACTTTGCAATTCTGTGATTCTCCTTTCAAAAAACTGTGCCACACCAAGCAGCCAACACTCAGAAGCACTGCCGTACCTGCCACTACCTGCATGCCTGGTATTGGAAAGGGTAGCCTGAAATATGTGGAGAACATGGCTGTGTGGCAGTTTCATCCTATTTTTGCACTGGAAAATCTTTGAATTTGAGGCAGTAAACTTGGGGAATCTTTTTTTTAAAGTACCGCAGAGCTTTAGCATTTTTATGCTGCTCCGTGTGGTTCTTAGCAGTTGTTCTTTGGCCATCTGGTATTGCTTTCTTTAAGAGATTAGAAAAGTCTGAGCTGAGGGATAAGGAAGCTTATGGTATTTAATTGTGTGGTCGTGGTGGTGATTTACACTGTATTCATCTTAAGTGCATAATATGTTTGGCTAAAAAACCCAAAAAAACAAAATCTATTCAACGCTGTTCTGCTTTAACTTGCCTCTAATGAGCAAAACTGCAAACTCTCCAATGCAATCCCACGGTCGCCATAATGAAGTATTGCTTTTAGTTTATATAGATAACAGTGGTAGCCTGACAAACGGTAATGGATAAACATGTCCTACTTTCAATGTTAGGGCTAGTGGGGTGCACCAGGTTGATTCGGTGCTTAATTCAATGCTTTGGAAAACAGTCGAATTCATAATTTATTTTGTTTTATTTATTTATTTTGAGACAAAAACATCACTTTGGCTGTCACCGTTGGAAGTCATAGCGGTAAAAGAAAAGAAAAGAAAAGAATATGATAGAAGGTTGGAAAACTTACAGAAATTTATTAAAACAAGAGGGAGGAGAGTTTAAATTAAAAGAATTTAAGGATTTATCAGGAAAGTTAACATGGATACACTATTTGAATGAAGTAATTAGGAAAGATAGGATACAAGGATTTGAGGAACAAATATCACAATTGGAGAGATATCTATTGGAATGTAATGTTAAATTGCTATCTAAAATGTATAAGATATTACTAGAATGGGAGACAAAGGATGGGCAAGTAAAACCTTCAATGATACATTGGGCAATAGATATTGGTTATAATATAAATATGGAAGCGTGGGACCGATTGTGGAATACTGATACAAAATTTACAGCATGCTATGGTTTAAGAGAAACCTACATGAAAATTTTATATGGATGGCATCTAACACCGAGTAAATTGGCAAAAATGTATAAATCAAAATCAAATAAGTGTTGGAAATGCAGAGAGAAAGAAGGTACTTTCCATCATATGTGGTGGTCTTGTAAGTTAAGTTAATTTAGAATATGCAGGAAATGATAAAAATAAATTTTAGAAACTGCAGAAAAAGGAAGAAGGAAGTTGAGTTTTTAAATTTTAAAATGACTATAAAACTATTGAAATGTATATAACTGAAAATCATTTTTTTAAAAAAGGAAAACAGTCCCATTCGCCTTGGACCAATTCACAGGTTGCTTGATTTGGCTTTGTGCCTCCTCATCAATTATCATAGGAGTATTTTAAAATGGCTATAGCTTCTTTGCTTTTTGACAGAATGGATGACATTTGCAGAGATAGTAGTTGCTTCTGAGTGGTAGACAAAATATTTGCCTTACTGGTTTCACGTGGATTTTTGATACAGAATTTTTTTTTAGCATGGCAACATAGAGAAACCTGGATGGGTATTTTGCTGGAAAGACATCAAATATGGTAATTGCTATAGTAAATATTTATGGTCCATGAAGCAAAGTCTCTTTTAAGACAATTTGCGTCATCCTCTTCTCAAGATCTCTCTCAAAATATGTATTAAATATGAATTGCATAACTTATGTTCTCCTAAAGCTAAATTCGTGTGTGCAAGTGTGGGAAAGAGGTGAGACACTAGGTAAGATTTTTGTGTTTCATTTAAAACAACAACAAAATAGAAATTACCGTATTTTTCGGCCTATAGGACGCACTTTTTCCACTCCAAAAATGAAGGGGAAATGTGTGTGCGTCCTATGGGGCGAATGCAGGCTTTCGCTGAAGCCTGGAGAGCGAGAGGGGTCGGTGCGCCCCGACCCCTCTCGCTCTCAAGCTCAGAAAGCCTTGGGAGCCTCCAAACCAGGTCGGGGGATAGCGGGAAGGCGCGCTGCGCCTCCCCGCTGTCCCCCAGCTTGTGGGGCTGGCAGCGGGGAGAAGCGCGCCTTCCCGCTGTCCCCCGACCTGATTTGGAGGCTGGCGACGGAGAGAAGCGCGCTTCTCCGCGTCGCCAGCCCCACAAGCTGGGGGACAGCGGGGAGGCGCGGCAGATGTCCACGAGGCTTGCGCGCCCGGCGGGAGGTCCCACCGGGCTCGCAAGGCTTGCGGGCGGCAGCCTGTTCTGGGGGCTGGGGTCGGGGGAAGCTCGGGCTTCCCCTGCCCCCTGCCCTGCAAGCTCCCAGAGCGATGGGGAAGCTGCGCGCAGCTTCGGCATCGCTCTGGGACCCGCGCCTGGGGGGGGAAATTTTTTTTCCTTTATTCCCCCCTCCCCAAAATCTAGGTGCGTCCTATGGGCTGCTGCGTCCTATAGGGCGAAAAATACGGTATATTCTATTCATTAAAGAAGAATACAATACAGTGTATACAACACCAAATAAATATATTCAAATTTTCAGAAATATTATTCTTCGTATATAATTTAAAATAATTTGAATTTGAATCCTTTTCCTTGAAGTTGGATCTCCCACCTGCTAGATATGCAGCAAGAGGAAACTGTTTCAAAATAGTTGCAGCTGGAAGAGTGTTATTCACAAAATGAAGATTGGGAAAGTGCTAGGGCCTGATTGTTTTCCTGTTGAATGGTACAAAATATATTCAGATTTACTAGTCCCTAAGGTGCTTTGGTTTCATCAACTTTAGTGTATGATACATATATGTCTGTTATACCTAAGCCTGGCAAACACCATGCTCATTGTGCAAATGTTGGGCCAATCTCTTTAATTCACATACATTTTAATATATTAACAGCAATTTTGGTTAATATGAAGCACTGGTTTTTGGAATTAATTGGAATCTGTATAATTAGCAAAACTGTGGTAATATTGGGTAAATATTGGAAAATTAATAAAAATATTTTTAAAAAAAACATTAAGTAGTGATATCCACAGTAGCACATTCAGATCAAGTGGTTTTTACTTGACATAAAGAGTGAGCAGGTCACCTAAAATTGGTAGCCAGCCTGGTGGCCTGGAATAGTCCTAGAACGTATCCAGCTGCATTTGTTACTTTGGGTGCTGAAAAAGCATTTGACAACGTATATTGGCAGTATGTTGGTTACTTTGGAAAAGTTTGGATTTCCTCAATAATTTATGAGGTTAGAATTTTATACTTCCTAAATTGCAAGTAAGATCCAGTGGGTTTGGAGCAGGGTGCAAGACATAGCTGTCATTTGTCATTTGTCTTCACTGATGTTTGATTTATGTTGGAACCACCGGCATGTGAAATCAGATGGAAAAGAGAGAGATCTGGTTGTGTTCATTTACAAGTGGAATTTAAAATAGGTTTATTACTCTTCATTAGTTGACCAGAATTAATAAAAACAATAGTTTTTGTAGAATTTCAGGATATACAATTATTTGGTCAAAATCTGAATTAATCCCAGCGGGCAATTGTAGGTTACTTATTTTATATACAAACTGGTGATTTTGTTGGTGCCCAGTGTTTTTCACATATATAGACATATTTCATACATTTATATATATATAAATATAAATAAATAAATGACATTTTGGTTCTGAGAGATATTTGTTGAAGGATTAAACTGAATTTGAATGGGTTGAGGAAGGAGTTGTTTTTACCTTCCTCATTATTTACTTTCCGTTGTGCATTTAATCTCTGGTAACACAGATATTCGTGCGGGTGGCGCTGTGGTCTAAACCACAGAGCCTAGGACTTGCCGATCACAAGGTCGGTGGTTCGAATCCCCACGACGGGGTGAGCTCCCGTTGCTCGGTCCCTGCTCCTGCCAACCTAGCAGTTCGAAAGCACGTCAAAGTGCAAGTAGATAAATAGGTACCGCTCCGGCGGGAAGGTAAACGGTGTTTCCGTGTGCTGCTCTGGTTCGCCAGAAGTGGCTTAGTCATGCTGGCCACATGACCTGGAAGCTGTACGCAGGCTCCCTCGGCCAATAAAGCGAGATGAGCACCGCAACCCCAGAGTCATCCACGACTGAACCGAACAGTCAGGGGTCCCTTTAACACAATTTGCCAGAACCTAGAATACCAAAGGTTAATTGATGGAGCTTCCTGGGTTCTTCAAAGTATTGCTGTTATTAAATGAGCTGTCACTAGTTTTAAAAAAATAATTAAATATTATGCAAAAGATTATATGTTTGTCATGGCAAAGTTGGATCATAATACTAGTGTTGGATCCATAATTACAGTATGCCCTGTGATTACACTTACTGTATTTCCTCCATTACCACAGGCCAAAATCACTTGACTATCCCACAGCTCCACTACTTATGATAAAATGAGCCAATCTCCTGGTAAGCTCTCCCTGTTAATGGAGGTGGTGGGGCAGCCACTCCACAAAAAAGGGACACTGAACACAAAGAACTGTAACATCTATTACACACTAGCAGGTACCCCCTGGGGGGGGGGAGGTGATTGAGACAGTTGTGGTGGAACAACTGTGGACATTCCTGGACGAGACTGATGATCTGGATCCATTCCAGTCTGGCTTCGTGAGTAAAATCCTAAAAAAACCTCAACAACTAACAACTTCAACTCTAAAAGAAAGCTCAACAATCGTCAAAAAAAGCCCTTCACTTCATCAGCATCCAGCATCCTTGGCATGCAAGCACTCACCTGCCCGGCCGGCCACAGGCGTGCTGGCCTGTGTCTTTGTGCATGTGTTTGTGTGTGAGAGGCAGAGGAAGAGGGGGAAAGAGCAGGAGGGAGGAGGACCAAGAGACATGCAGGATCCGACTGCAACATCACTTCCCAATCAAAGCCTCCCATGACAAAATCGGTAACAGCCCCCCTTCCCTCCTCCTGACATGCCTCCTCTGCATCCCCCTCTCCTGCTCTCTTTTTCCATCCAACGATCCCTCCCACCCCCACAACCACCCTTCTCCCCCCTTTTGGAGGGCACCTTCCAGAAAATGAGGCTCAGGGAGACCCTCCTTTTCCCAGAGGCGGAGCTAGCTGCACATGCTGTGGGGGCAGGGCTAGCCACCCACGGCGAGCGTCCCAGGGGGGCAATGTCACCCCCCCTCAAGGATGACACCAGGGGTGGACAGCACCCACTGTACCCCCTTCCTTTGCCAGTGCCTTTCTCCCAACTGAAACTTAATGATTTACCGTATTTTTCACTCTATAAGATGCACCAGACCGTAAGACGCGCCTAGTTTTTGGAAGAGGAAAACAAGAAAAAAAAAATTCTGAATCCCAGAAGCCAGCAAGAGGGATCGCTGTGCAGCGGTCCTGCTTGCTGTCCTGGCTTATGGGATAGCCATGTGCAGCCTCTCCCAGCCAGCGGGCTGAAGGCTCCCCTTTCCTGGGAAAGGCTGCGCGCGGCCAAGCAACAAGCCAGGACAGCCAGCGGGATCGCAGCACAGTGATCCCGCTGGCTGTCCTGGCTTATGGGATGAAGACTCCCCTTGCCCGGGAGAGGCTGTGCGCGGCCAAGGCTCCCCCAAGAGCCGCGCTCCCTTTAAAGAGTGCGCAGAGTGTTTGTGCGGCTCTTGGGGGCTTTTCCCCGAGGAGGGAGAAGGGCTGCCCTCCTTCTCCTCAGGGAAAAGCCCCCAAGAGCCGCACACACGCTCCACGTGGCTCTTTAAAGGGAGCGCTGAGCAGAGCCTCCCGCCTGCATTCGCTCCATAAGACGCACACACATTTCCCCTTACTTTTTAGGAGGGGAAAAGTGTGTCTTATAGAGCAAAAAATACGGAAATTCTCTTCCCGCCCTACTTTTCCTGCATCTCTGCTGTGCTCCCTGGCCTTTTTTCCCTAACTAGATTTCTGATTGCTCCCCCCTCGCTCGCTCTGCCTTTCTCTGCTGCTGCATTCCCTTGCCCCCACCCCAGCCTCTTACCATTGTGTAGCTTTTTTAGTCTTTTGCCTCCTGCCTGGATGCCCCCCTCAACACTCCCCTTTCCTCCTCTGGACCCTCTTCCTTTCCTTTCCTTCCTTCTGCCGGGGTCCCTCTTCCATTCACTCCCCTTTCTCCACTTCCCTGACTCCCTCGTCCCCCAAGGTCTTCCCCTCTGCCACCCACTGCATCCCTTTTCTCCTTCCCTTCAAATTCAGTGTTCTACCCCCTTTGCTACGGTGACTGCCCAGCCTCTGCCTAGCGACTTCCTGTGAGTGAGAGTCTCATCCAGGGTCTGTCCATCTCTTTAAACCTCTCTCTGCTCCGGTGATTTTATGTTTGTTTTATCATCATCATCATCATCATTTGTATGCCGCCTTTCCACACTTAAAAACAATGCTCAAGGCAGCTTACAACGTGACAAGATTTACATAATTACAAAAGTCATAAACAATAAATAAACTACATTAAAAAAAAATACACAGCCAAATGGAAAACAATTTCCACATAAATCAAAATCTAAAACTAAGAATACAGCATTAATATCACAGTTTAAAAAGACATAGATAAAAAATAACAACAAATAAAAACAACAACCAAAAACGGCGCCCTGTCTGCCCAGCCGCAGCGGCAGCAGTCCTTTATGGAGCCCGTCAGGACCTGCCCTAGGCCAGGTGGTGAGCGGCAGGACTGGGGCCCCCAGGCAGCGCTCAGCAGGGGAGTCCTCCTGGGCGGCAGTTTTAGAGCCATAACTCAGTGGCAGAGCATCCTCTCTGAATGCAGAAGGCCCCCCAGATTCAATCCCCAGTGTCTCCAGGTGGGGCTGGGAAAAGAGGAGGAGGAGTTTGGATTTGATATCCCGCTTTATCACTACCCGAAGGAGTCTCCAAGTGGCTAACATTCTCCTTTCCCTTCCTCCCCCACAACAAACACTCTGTGAGGTGAGTGGGGCTGAGAGACTTGAGAGAAGTGTGACTGGCCCAAGGTCACCCAGCAGCTGCATGTGGAGGAGCGGGGAAGCGAACTCTGTTCACCAGATTACGAGTCCACCGCTCTTAACCACTACACCACACTGGCCCCTGCCTGAAGCCCTGGAGAGCTGCTGCCAGTCAGTGTAGACAAGACTGACCTAGAAGTTGGCCAATGTGTC